AGATTTAGTTGGTAAAAATACAAAAAAGAAAAAACTGACTCATTTGATTAAAACCCAGATATAAATTATTTTTAACTGATCCATAAAACAATTGCACAACTTTAGTAATTTGATGATTTTGGACTTCTTGAGGATGAAAAACTAATTCCACCGACTGTCGTCAGCAGCCATGTCTGTGGAGTTTAATCAGCTGATGAACGAGTCGAAGAAACTCTGAACACGTGAAGCTCCTGAGTTTGAGAAGAGGAAGGAAGTGAAAGAAGAAGCTGTGAAGACGCTCCCACATGGATCTTGATGCAGGAAATGGTTTTTCACTTCGCTCGGCAAGAAGAGCAGCTGATGACAGATTATTTGATGACAGCAGTCGTTTTGAGCATCTTTGTGAAAGAGGCCCTCGGAGTCGTCTCCTCCAATGACTGACGAGGAAACTGTCCCTCAGGTCAAAACCTCTTCTGATGACACGTTGATGAGTTGAATCAAACCCACGACACGGGAACGTCACGTCCTCGGAAACTTTTCATTTCTATGAACACATCAGCTGATGTTCATCTTCAGGTTGATCAGTTTAATGAGAGTTTGACTGTAAGATGTCTTCATGCTCTGATCTTCAGAATGTCTGTCCTCAGACTGTCCTTCTCTGCAGCTCCTCTCTTCAGCCTCTGTCTCAAACACTTCAGCTACTGTCTCTTTAAGACCCCCCTCCTGATAAAGTCTGCTCCGATTGGTCAACAGCTTGCAGTCCACGCAGGAAATGTCTTTACCTGGTCAGGGGGCGTGTCAGACCAGCTGCTGGCGACAGGTTCCTGTTGATCTGTTTGGTGTCAAACACGAGACGCTGAGATTCTAAACTGAAGACTCTTTCAAAAGTTTAGTTCAAAACAAATCTGCTCATCGGAGAAACTCACACTGATTAATCATTAATCACACTGATTAATCAACTATCAGACTGATTAACCAACTATCAGAGAGATTCATCTATTATCAGAGAGACAAGAGGCACTCATGACAACAGAGACATCAGAAAGACAGAGAGAGGGACAAGACACAAACAGAGAGAGACAGACAGACAGAGAGAAAGAGAGAGACACAGAGACANTCGTCTCCGCCGGAGTCTCACTGCGTGTCCGAGGACCACCGCACCTTTGATGAGTAAGTCCACTAAATCCAKGGAAGAGGCGATAAAGTTGGGACATAAATCGGATGGTGTTGTGTCCCTGATGGAAAGAAGCTKGTCCATCGTGAAAGTAATCCGWGTAGGGTCGCAGTAAACAGAATTAAATACTAAAAACAAACACAAAAGTGCYCWCCAACACACCGAGGCGACCGTTCGTGGCGCCATCTTGATGTGTCCTGAGAGGTACAGGTACTGTAACTTAAGTTAAGATCAATGCATTATGCCTTTTCGTGAAATTACAGAGTTATATTCAACATTTTTATTAATAAAAAAAGTTGCTAGTAAACTACATGGGTTGAAATTAAATGTTTGAAACTGTGCAGCATTTTCAATTATTATAAACACACAGAAATCTATGAATGTGCCTTCACCTTGACTTTTATCTCAGAGTTCCTGCATCTCTTGCTTTATCCATCAGACCCTGAACAGGTAGACATTGGTCTCAAGGGCTGGGTCAGGTTGAGAGTATTGAGGTCAGACAGGATGGCCGCTGAACACCACCCGGTTAATCCCCTGACCTGGTCCAACCGACAGATTAGGCCAGCTTGTTGGCGGAAGGTCGATCCTGTTGCTCTCTGTTGGCTGCACTTCAGTCACATTCAATACCCCGCTTCCTCCTCTCATATCCCTACTAACCCGTCAGAACAGGTCAATACGGCACTAGCCGGTAAATTAAAGTGGGTTTTACTGAAAAACTGATCAAGAAATCAGAGTTTGTTGAAATTCTACACTGGCAACAATATGAGACAAAGACTTAGATTTTTTTCACAAACCACAGTAACATTTTTTAATGTTTTGGTTGGTAGTTTTATGATGGAACAATTGATC